GCGGGCGATGGGCGGCGGCCGGGCCTCCTCCTTCCCCTCAGAGGGGTCGCGCGGCGGCCTCCCGCGCGCACGTGCTTGGCGCCGCCCTGTCACCCGGGCTGCGCGTGCGCAGAGCGCGCGGGGCGGGAGGCGGGGTAGCGCGCCCCCTCCGGGCTCGTAACCGGTACCGGCAGCGCGGGGCTTGCCTGGAACCGGGGCCGAGAGCCGGGCACGGCTGTTCTCGGGTGCCCGCAAACAGGGGTTACTGGAGGGAATGGCACAGAGAGTGGGCCACGCTGTGTGCAGTTGAAACGGAAAGAAAATCTAGACGAAGCCTATCCCATTAATCAAATTCCAGCTGAGTGTGGCATCAGGGCTATCATCTCTAATAAAAACTTTTCTTAACCACCACAAGCAACGGGCATCGCTCCCTTTGATCGGCCCGGAAGGGCTGGATCCAGCTCCTGGATTCTGCGGCTGGAAGCCCGGCCAGCGCGGGGCCCCGGCTTCCACCTGGAAGAGGCTCTGATGGAGCAGTGACCGCGGCCAGCATTGCTCACCCTGGTACACCAGCAAAACCCGAGCAACAACACAACGCTGCCAGAGGACTTTTTTCTGTTCAGTTCGTTTTCACTGATGTTTAAGTTCTTTGAGGAAAGCTTTTGACATGAGAGCTTTAGACAGTTTTCCACATGAAGATTTTTTTTTCTCCAATAGCCAGACAGGCTAAGATGACTTTTTTGGTCTATTTCTTTTTACTTGGTTTGGGATTAGAACGCTCCTTTCTATGTATGTTCTTGTTTGTAAAGACAGATTATCTTATTTTTTTCCCTCCAGGACTAAAACAACTTTATAATCAAAATTCAAAATTACAAAAGCTAGGTTTGCTGCTTTTTAAACAGACATCTGCTCACAGTGTATAAACCAAAAAATAAAATTGCTTCAGGTTAGTTACATGTTGTTCACAGGGAAGCACATCTTAATTTTATCACATGTAAAATACAATAATTAATTGCATACTGAATAAATTAAGAAATGCGCTAGCTTTTATCTTTGCATTATTAGTATAAAACGTGGGTATGTTTTAATGAGATTGTTCAAAGTTCCTATCCAGTGTTACATTTGTCATTAATATTCTGCTGCAGTAGTTCTATGCTAAGCATATTTTTCTCTTGACAGGTTATAAAGACCACACTATTCATGCATATTTAGGTAATAATTTTGATGTATTATCATTTGCATATAGGCTGGTAGAATTGTAACCAAATGCTGCACAATCTCAGAAAAATATTTGTCGTATAAGCATAGGCATACGTCACTCACAGCATCGGTGTGCTGGGAGAGGATTGCCATCAAAAATGGAATGACCTTTTTTCTGCTTTCTCCTCAACTACCTAGATAGTGTTTCTCCTTTCTCTTGATGGATAATGTCTATAAATAACCCATTGAGCGCCTGGAGTCGGAAGGGTCCGAAGCACCCCCAAAGGCTGGGGGCTGCCTGCTCTGGTGCCGAGGAGGGCGGGAGGTAGGGCCGGCTGATCCGCAACCGTTCCGCATCTTTACTTCTCCCTGCCCAGTACAGCCATAAAACAACTTTCGTTTCTATTATTTAAACAATAGTAAGAAAGCCATTACCAGAAGGAGGTCATTAAGATGACCAAGCAGAGATATCTATGTAGAGTCCTCTCCCCCAGAGGTAAGCCAGGGAGCCCCGCTGTGGGTCTGCCCAGCTCTCTGGGACAGCCCCACCAGTCACAGCTTCATGGTCCTTTACAAAACCAGCCAGAATTCTTGTGAGTGCCCGCGCTACCGCACTGCTTCCCGGGCTGGCTTAATTCTGTAAGGAATTGCTCAGGAGTATTTGTGGAGATGTGGCTTATCTCAGCTGTTCCTTCGCCTTCCTGCTTCTCTCCGACGGCATCCATTGAGCTGTAGAACCCTCTCAGATGCAAGCATCCCACCAGCTGGCGTGGTCTGTTCATGAATTACCCAGCGACTCCACAGCTGGCGCAGCAGGAGACCGGGAAGGTCACTTTGTACAACGTGAGAACAGAGGGCTGTAAGCTCCACAAAACATAAATCTAATTTTTTCCTACTTCAGAATAAATATGCTTTGTTAACATTTATTCAATGTTTTCACTCTATCACTAACCATATATAATATTACTACTCTATTAGACTGACATTCTTTAGTGTCTATTAGATAACATCCTTTTAAATCTAGTAGGTGCTTTTACCTATTGATTTTCAATAAATAAAATTAATTCAGTGTATTAAGATCTAATTTCTCAGAACTTATAGAGAAACTCTAAGAATGGAGTTCGAACATCAAGTTTCTCATTCTCTGAAGTTATCACAGCATATTTTATATTATACACATTTAAATCCTCTTTATCAGTTATGAGACTATTTTAGATGCGGTTAAATTATGAAGATTAAATTGGGGCATTTTTCCAGCGGGGGACTTCAAGCTCAGATACCACTAGCTAATAAGGAGAGAAAACGGACAAACCAGCTGTTGCTAGACACTGAACTTTTTGCCTTTGATCATCCTTTACTTGATTTGCAGCCAAACCCAATCACTAGGTTTAGCAGAGGATAACAAAGTTTAGTGGGTGACAGAGAAACGCGGAATAAGCGATGTCAGTCCTGAGGTGCTGCCAACTCTCTGTTCTGGTGTAAGACTGCCACCTGGGTTTGAAGCAGTGTTCTGGGCCTCCTTTGGTTTCACTATTGGTGGGGTGAGACACTTTTCCCAGCCCTTATAGGAAGAGAGATAGGACAGACAAATGGGAGGATAAAAAAGAACAGATTTTCAAGATTATTACTATTTTACAGATTAAATAATTTGTATTGTATTTCTCACATTTGTTTTCTAAACTACTTTATTCTACACAGTTAATCGTATCTTAGGGCTGTCTTGCTTAGAAATCTCCAACTATTTACTTTTTCTATCTTAATTGTAAAGATGCAGCAATTTATAGTGGCGATTCAGACTATGCCTTCAGTCGTATCACCCCTTGCTTCTATTTTAGCAATAAAATGGTATATTTACCAAACATTTTCCAGAAAAAAAATATTGTTAATTACAAGTAATTCTTGGCATAATTTTGACTCTTAAATCCACTTACTGGTTTTCCTGTTGTATAAGCACAATACTCTCTCAGTTGTACACTATGTTCTAAAAATTTAGTATTAGAACTAAGTAATAAACACAGTCATCTAAGAAACCCTATTTGCGGAACAATAACATTTTCACCTATCAAAACATATATTCTGTGAGGATAGGATGAACATATGAAATCTAAGATAAGATATATAGAAACAGAAGAGAAAATTAAAACAATTTTAAGTTATTTATTACCATTTTATAGGAACGGTCAGGGAGAAGACAAGTTTCATATAATGAATCAAAGATTACATTAATTTAAATTCCTTCAGACCTTTATCCTTCACCTTTTTCTCCTTCTGCCTTTCAGGCACAAAACTCATACATACAATGCAGTAAATCTTTTAAAATTCAGAATCTAAACACACAGCCCATATCTGCTCTGGTATTTGTGTAAATATTCATTGGATGTGTAAATACAAGTGACACTAGTATGTATACATAATGCTATTAGCATGTGCAATGCAAATGAGTAACGGTATCTCTGACAGGACAGAGATAAAAAACCAGATAATGCAACTTAAAACTTCATCACACTTCTGGCTTCTTACATTTTAACATAAATATTCATAGTCCTATCAAAGGGGTCATTTGGATTTCTAAATATTTAACAACACTATCCCACTTTTTCACTCGTTGCTTTGAAATAACTTTGGCCTCCAAAGAGGACACGGAAACAATGCTGTTTCTACTCTGCAAATGTGAAAACTGAGGCACAAAATACTATTTTTTTCAACACAGGTATTTCAAAAAACCTCACCATTAAATTATGCCAGTGTCTACCAAAATGCAGGACAAGTTCTTATATTCCTTTCTTTTCCAAGCTACCCATCACGATAAATGTGGAACCTTAGAAATAAGGAGACTCAGCACTTTAAAACTGGGCCACGCACATTCCTTCTTGTGCTTCCCAGTGACTGGCACTCCCTAACAAAGGTGCTTCTAAAATTACGTTTCCCCAGGCAAAACAAAGAACAAAAATGAAGTAATTGTATTATACTTAAGCTATCTATCTTTACAGAATTACACCCTGGATATGTTGGAGGAAAAAGCATATTTATTAAACGGGAGCATTGTAAACAGGCCTATATATCTTGTCCTTACAGCATGTGAAATAAGAAGAGGATTCAACGTTTCTGACATTTTGTCAAAAAACCTTTATTTTTATAAAAGTCGCAGGATCCATTTAAAAGCTTAACTGAAAAGATTTTGCTAAGAATTAATCAGAGATTAAATAACTTCAACTTGATCATTCAGAAATTAGCTTCAACTGTCAGCACATCAAATGAGTTTCCAACATAACACCAGTAAACAGGCAGAGTTTGATCTCTCCATCTCACTGAACTTTACTGTATCCACACACGATGTTTCTTACCACAATGACATTCTAGTCATCATCTTGCATCCTCCTAAGTACTAACAATACCATACCTCCCAAATAATTTTCCCATTTTAAGCTAGAAAACTGCATCTACCTACCACCAACCAGAGCCATTCGGAAAGCCAATGAGGACATACAGAGCTTTTTCCATATCCAGCAACATTTTATTGAACAGCATTTAAATCTTTTTCTTCGTTAGCTTTACACAGACTTTTACAGGGTAGTTAATTACTCTTGGCTCTTCCCATGGTAACTGTCAGATTTGTCTTGATATTGGTCAGCTAAACCATCTAAGTTCTTCTCTTCATCTCCCTGCCACCCACGAGGGATGTCCACCAGGCTCTTCCAGATTAACTTCAGAGATTTGGCATTTTATCAGGATGGCAAAATTAATCCACTGCCTTTTGGTAAATTTAAGAAAATACAGTTCCCCTGAATTCCAGGTGCTGGGCTGGGATCTGCTATATCCATTCTTCAAAGGAGTTAACAGTGACCAGTATATACCAGCAATTAATTCATATGGTCATTAAGGGAAACGTCCATTAAGGGCAAATGACTGAACCAGAATAAACTGTGTAGGCTCAGGACTAAGGCTGAGCATGATCTGTATAGACCAAAGAATGTGACTATTGAAATGGCTCAAACTGCATTTGGTTTCATAGTCCATTTAATGCAATTTTGTTTTTTCACATTTAAAATATACTAACTTGTCTGTGGTACAGTTCAGCAGAAGATTTACTGACCAATTGTTACATATTTAGTGTACAGCTGTCATATGACTGTTCTGGATGGAAAAGGGAGTCCATGCCAGGATCTGTACAACTGCGATGCAGAGTGGAACCAGGCAGATCAAATAGAACATGGCATCATGAAGACCTAAAAACAAACTGATGAAGAAGAAAACAGAGTTTTCAAGGTGAAGATTAACTTTCATGGTCAATTCACAACAAATTATTTTTAAAGAATTCACATTATATACACATATACAGCATGTACATGTGCCTGTGTGCAATCAATCCCAAATAAAAGAAATACAAACATCTCAGATATCAAATGTACTTCAACTGTATTTTCACATTCTACATACAAATGTATGTAGAATTTTATGTTGTTTGATCCTTTCATAATAGCTGGGAAGAAGTTAGATAATTAGCACTCAAGGAGTTAATATATTGTAGGCAACCTAAAAAATCCTGTTCACTATGTTAGTGCACACTTGTATCATGTAATATAGAAATCAATTTAAGCAACATAATCCAATTATAGAACAGAGCATCTGAAAGGGTTTAGTAAGACTGAAAAATCTGCAAGAGAAAGAAAAGCAGAAAATGAAGCAAACACTTCAATACAAAATTATTTTATTTAATTTAAAGTCTGTGCTACTAGCTATCCCCTATAGTATTATAGTTGCTGAGTGCTAGATGGAAGTCACGATTAATACACAAAATTCAGGCATGGTGTAAAGGGCTGTTTGAAATATCAAGCCTTACTTAATTTTGCTTGAAAATAAATGATGATAAGAATACATGTGAAATTAACACTCATTCTCATTTATTCTCATGGATGCATGGTATTTCCTCATCCGAACCTTCTCTAAGGTATAAGAGATAAAAGCATAAGCAAATACGATTCAGAAAAGAAAATATAGGGGTTAAATGAGTTCCCTTTTGTGAACAGTATGTTTTCTGACAGCTCAAAGCATATATTTAGATATTGATCTATTGTCTAGAATCAGTATCAACTAGCGTTCTGTTAATTAATGGATTCTAATTACTTAAGTATTGGGAAAGTCAATTTAGCTGAGAAACAGCCCTTAAATGAACTTTCTCTCCATGAGACAGCTTGTGTTATTTTCTGGGTTTTTTTTTCCCTTAGCATTCAGGGATGAGATAGGAGACTCACAGAAAAGCTATAGACATGATCCAAAAAATCTGAAATCTGGAAAAAAATGCTCATTAACTTGACAGGGTTTTGAATAAAACCTAAGAGTTTCTCTGAATCAATAAAAGAGTCAACTCGTGTCTCACTGCATTTAACAGGAAAAATGCTTGCAACTTCTAGCGTAGCCCAGATTTATTCCTTAGTGCACAGACGGTCATACAAAGACCACAATTTATCTCGAGTCACGTACACGCTGATGCTGAAAAGGAAAACAACAAGGAAAACAAACCCCAGGCTTACAAGTGAATTACTTCATCACTTGGGCAACTGCATTTGGGACTGGAAGTGTTCACTGGCAGGTCATTGCTCTGCAGCCAGTGGGTACTGGCAGAGACAATAATTTCCATGTGGACGCCGTTCAATTGCATTTTCAGCCCACAGGAGGTGTACAGGGCCCCACATCATGCACCCCCTCCCATCGTCAGTGGGTGAGGGTGTCAGCGTGTCGGCGGGAAGGCGACAGGCAAATCGTTCACCCATCTAAAGATGGTAATGGCACTAAGACACAGGTAATGGGATGCTGAGGCTTGTACTTTGCCCGTTCCGCACTCTAAAGAGGACTGCAGTTTTCAGTACTAAAATTATCCTGTATTTATATATGAACTTCAGGAAGGACAAAAAAATAAGAACACCTGCAAAATCACTCATATTGGTGCAGTCCTGATTTGGTTTCATTGGAACAATATTGATTTAAGAAAATAATTATTACCTATTGTACTGTAAAGCCTTAAGTTACTGCAGGAATTATAAAAAATATTTATAGTACACAGAACAAGTAATGGCAAAATATTTCATTAAGGGACTGGGATAAATCATGAGCAGAGCTCAGATTTCATCATCATAACAGCTGAACCTGTAACTTCAGAAATTTCTATTTCTACATTTTTTGCACACATAAAATCTTTCACTAAACAGCCCTAATCTCACTCTGAATAGAACGTGATGTAGTCCAGTAATTCAATATGAAAGCATCAACAGCTTGAAGTGCCTCTGATGAATAATGAAGAATAATGAGGAGTTGCTACAAAATAACTAGTTCTGAAGAAGGAATTTGAAAAGCACACTTCTCACAGAAGTCAGCTGTAGTTGCAGTTGCTCTCCAGAAGAGGGGGGGGTTAAACTAGGTATCTTTTCCACAGAAAAAAAAACAACACAAAAAACACCACCAAACTTAAAAACACAAACTAAACCAAAAAAACCCAAACAAAAACAAAATTAAAAAAAAAAAACCAAGCCATATGTGACAGGTAATGCTTTGCTATGGTGACAGAACAAAAGAAAAAAACCCCAACCAGGACCCCACTCCATTCTGCAAGCTATTGCTCAAATTTTAAGGATATTAAAAAATACTTAAGATAGCTTCCACTACAAAATGCTTAACTGATGTGCAGTGACCACATTCCCTAAGAATGCTGTATAATGTGTATATTAATGTATACAGAATCACGTGTAACACATGTACACTGTGTACAATACACTGGCCAATCTCGCGTGTGAAAAAGGTCACATCAAAAAGCAAGAAGACTTCAAGAGACAGGCCATTCACAGCAGAAGTCACACTTCCGAGTTACAATACCAGAGGCAAAATCAAGGGCTGCTGGGTTGCTCCTAAGGAAGAAGACTTCCTAAGAAGTCCCAGTGACTAAAAAGTTATTACCACTGAGGCAAAGGTAAATGCTGGTACCGGTAAATAAGAAGTTGGTGATGTTTGTAATCAATTCAAAGGCTTCAGAGCTGAGGAAGAGAAAGACAGTCTGGGTCTTTGGGGTGCCTGGGCTAATACGCTGCTGGGATCGCTGCTCAGTGATAAGCATTTTCTCATTTCTGATGAATTTTAACTTCTGAAGGCAGTATGCTACTAATAAAGTGCTATCAAATCTGTAAGATAAATGAAGTAGGGAAGAAAAAACCAGACCCTTCCCCTGTAAGCGATGACTTTTTCTTTTTGTATATGTAAGCTGAAGTTACCCAGAAAGTTTGTGAGCTCCAGCATTCCATGTGGTCTTGAGTGGGCAATATATCAAGAAATGAGGAATGAGGGAATGAAATTACAATATTACACAAAAATCCATGTGAACAAGAAAAGCTTATATCCGTAATTTTGAACTGTAAACTCATTGATGGCAAATTTGTTTTACTACAGCAAAAGCCTAGAAAGTTGCTGAGAATACAAAAACCAATGTTCAGACTTTTGATGCTGGAGGGAAAGACAAGGGACACGTCAGGACACTACTGAAGGAGGAGACCACTGATGGTCTGCTAATACTTTTCTCCATTCACTTAGAACATTAACATACAAAACACACAAAAAAACCCTCCCTCAAACTAAACACAGATAATAAGATACATCTTATTAAGATTCTTTTGCTTTGTAAGAGTATCCGTGAAATAACTGGAAGAAAACTAATGTGACAGATAGTATCTGTACATAAAAAGCAACTGTCTGTAGCTGTAACACACCATATTCTCACTGTCATTACTTACTGGAACTTTGTTCACTGAATCACAGAATGGTTGAGGTTGGAAGGGACCCTTGGAGGTCCTCTGCTCCAAACACCAGCTTGAGCAGGGCCACATAGAGCCAGCTGTCCAGGACTCTGTCTTGATGGCTTTTGAGTATTTCTAAGGACGGAGAGTCCACAACATCCCTGAGTAGCCTGTTCCACTGCTCAGGTGCCCTCACAGCAAATAAGCATTTCCTGATGTTCAGAGGGAACCTCCCATGTTTCAGTTTATGCCCATTGCCTCTGGTCCCGTCACTGAGCACCACTGGAAAGAGCCTGAATCCATCCTCTTTGCACTCCTCCTTAAGGTATTTACATACATTGAAAAGATTCCCCCTGAGCCTTCTCTTCACCCGGCTGAACAGTCTTAATTCTCTCAGACTTTCCTCATAGGAGAGATACTCCAGTCCCTTAATAAACTTGTGGTCCTTTGCTGGGTTCTCTCCAGGATGTCTAGTGTTCTCTTGTACTGAGGAGCTCAGCACTGGACACAGCACTCCAGGTGTGGCCTCACCAGTGCTGAGCAGAGGGGAAGGATCACCTCCTTTGACCTGCTGGCAATACCTTGTCTAATGCAGCCCAAGATACCATTGCCTTTACCGCAAGAGCACATCATTGCTGACTCATGTTCAGTTTGGTCCCAGCTCCTTTCCTGCCAAGCTACTTTACAGCTGGGTAGCACCCAGCATATGCTGGTGCATGGGGCTGTTCCTCCCAAGGTGAAGGACTTCACACTTCTCACTGTTGAACTTCATGAGGTTCCTGTCAGCCCATTTCTCCAGCCTGTTGAGATCCCTCTGGATGCCAGCATGACCCTCTTATGCATCTGACACACCTCCCAGTTTTGTGTCATCACCAGACTTCCTGACGGTACATCCTACCCCATCATCCAGATCATTAATGAAGATATTAAACAGGACTGGATCCAGTATAGACCCCTAGGGTACTCTACTAGTTACTGGCCTCCAACTAGACTTCATGCCCCTAACCACCACCCTCTGGGCCTGGCCATTCAGCCAGTTTTCAACCCTTCTCACTGTCTGCTCATCCAGCCAATATCTCAAAGGCTTGTCTTTGAGGATCTTATGAGAGGACACAATGTCAAAGACCTTACTGAAGTCCAGGCAGACAATATCCACTGCGCTTCCCTTGTCTACCAGGCAAATCATTTCATTGTAGAAGCTTACCAAGTTGGTCGAGCATGACTTCCCCTTGATGAAGGGGATAAAATAGTTTATGGTTTTGGAGTGCATCTTCTCTCTTCTCACAGTAATCAACATTGCTGGAAAATCTTAAGACATATTTAGCCAGGGCCCAAACATTTTATTAATGCAGAATAAGGGTCCTCTATGCCATCTTCACAATTTCCTACCACTACACCTAATAAAGTAAATGCTTTTCAGAATACTTAATAGATATTGCCAGCTTTGGAGAAGGAGGAGGGACAGAGCTGAGATTGCATTGGCATGGGTCACAACACTTCATTATATAATTCACATGTGTAAAATTATTTTTAATTTTTTTTTAAACAGATTGAGCATATTTTAAGCGATCTGCTGTATTCAGTTTCTGTTTGTCCCCGAACAACTGTGTCCTGAGGCAATTGTATTTTAGCTATCTGCCTACAGCTGAAATCTGAGATCAGTTGAATAGAGTTTTAATACGTGTAAGTAATTTCAGCTCAGTCAATGGTCTGAGTACATTGCCATGGGCAAACAGACTCCCTAGAAACAATCTCAAGTAGCCTCGTCTTCATGGACTGTGTGTCCACACTGTAGTCCATTTGCAAAGTGAAAGACATGCACACTCACATGTACATATACAGGAAACACATGCAGGCTGCTTCACATTGAAGAAATTATTTTTGAAGGGATGGGGAAGAGAAATATAGAGCATATTTCAGGTGCTCTTTGATTAACTGATCTCAGCTTTGTTCCTTTATGCTGTTCCTTGCCCTAGTGGAATAAATTGAATTTCAGCATGACTCAAGTGAAAATACAGGTTTTAGAGATTGAGCATTCAAAGTATTTCCACTCTACATACAACAAATTTATTATTGCTATAGTTCAGAGGCTGCTTACTGGGAAAAAAAGATTTACAGCTACTGTGATTTAAAATCCATCCACAAAGGGATCATTTATCTGCTTGAAACGGATCAGAACTGCACTTTTTATGTTTCAAATCTGAACTTCTCTGAATCATCAAGATGAATATATTCAGCCCTATCATATCCACATCCAGTTCATCCTACTGCTCTTCTGCAAAAACCACTCATCTTATTTGACATTATAATGAGGTTCATGTCCTCTTCACATCATCTCACTGCCTGGCTACCTACAGAATGCATTAAAATTAACTGTTCTCACACATAGCCTCAAACTTAAGTCTTCTTTGTTTGTGTCAGGATGCTTTTCTGAAGACCACCTGTTGTTCTTTTATGTCATTCTTTCCCTCATACATTTTTTTAGAAAGTTCCTCAAATATGAAACATTCTTCTAGCCTTAGGTGACACATAACCAGGCATTTTTAGTTCATATACACTTCTCTTCTATGTATTTTTTAAGGTTTCTACTCAAAATTTAGAAGAGCTATGTTATACTTACGATATTCATGTTACTCTCTCAAGCAAATCCAAACCAGGACTGATTTTGCCTTTTAGTCCCAACTTCAGTTATTCCTTATGTTGCCACTTCCCCTTGTTGGTCATAAATAAACAGCCTATGACCCTTTCAGTGTACTGACTCCCTGTTAATTTGTTTTTATAAAAGCCCATGCATTTCCAATGTGCTAACGAGCAACCACAACTTTATGCTGTGTACTAAGGTCTCCAGGGACTGCAATGAGCTCATTAGCATCAGACTGGTAAGTAGCATTGAAACAAAAATTACACTCCCACTTGAGGCAAATTCCCTCCCTCCAGTGATTATACTGCTTTCTCTCAAATAAAACTTTATCTTTAATGCAAACCTCTTAGGATTATATATCTAATGAAGTAGGTTCACAAGATAAGGTTTACAGAAGCCAGAACGGCATGTATCTTAAAAAGAGGTATTAGGTGATCTCAAACATATTTTTTTCTTATTTGCAATGGAACAGGAGACAGTCAGCTACTGAACTGTATCTGTTTTTTTTTTTCAAAATTAGGTTGATATCCTCACATGTACTGTTTAATCAACGATTTATTCTTTAAAAAATACAGAAAACATTTCTATTTCTACACATATAAAAAACAACTAGAAAATACTTTTAAAGCACTCATATTTTTGAAGTGCAGTTGATGCAAACTAATTGCAGATTAATTTGCTTTTTAGATGATGGGATTATTTCACATTAATTTCTATGACTTAAAGTATCGCTTTTGAACTCACCTTGCATCAGGTTGAGCATCTTCCTTATTCAGGTTCTCATATCCAAATTGATTTAGCATTGTAACCACAAGCATTGGAGCCAAAGATTGGGCAGGCTTGGTAAATAAAGCATTCGTACCAAAAACCATAGAGGAAAGTGGTGATCTGAAATATTTAGGGATAAAACCAAACAATTGCACAACACAAACTTATTATTATATTGATTACAATAGTAATTTTAAACATTCTGTTAATATGCAAATGCTAACTGTCACGATACTCAGCTTTATAGTTCATGCATTAGAGCAAACAGCTATCCTAATGAAATTTAATTTTTTTTTTTAAATGAAAGATAGTAAGCCTCTGGGATATATATACAGCTTGGCCCCACTTCAGAAATGACTTGCACTCACGTTCAACTTTGTGGACATTAAGTAATTACTGAAGTTAAGTTAGACTGAACTGTGCATGGAAAATTAATTACAACATAAGACTTCACATGCATGAGGCCAGAAAATGAGGCTTTTTTTTTTCTTCATGAAAGCAATAGCTCTCACCTTTGAGGAGCAAGTCCTTTAATACCGTGACTAGGATTGAATCTGCACTTATATAAACATTGATGGAACCAACAAGAAGTTAGCTGTGCTATGATAAAAATCAAAAAGATCTATGAGTTGTAATATGCTACGTCACAGCACATTTTATCAATTTTTATTTCAGAGAGATAACAGCAACCGGTTAGACTTTGGAATTTGTACTTCAAATAGCACAGGGAAAGCTTTCTAACTGCTTTTTCCATATTAGAAAGGCCTTACTTAGAAAACTCCCTAAGCGACAGTATATGCACATGGTTACAAAGTAATTCAATTAAAGCTAACAAAAACCAACACACAAAAAACTTGGCTTATACCATAGTATAATTAAAACTATAAATGACCTAATAATCTGTTTAAATTTCTCTGCCAAAGTAACCACAGGAAACTTTATTCAAGTTCTTACCGTTACTTATTCTAAATTGCTCTTACAAAAAGTACTTCTGTGTCAAAGATCCAAGATCATTTACTGTCTTTGACATAATCTAACTTACAAAAGAGTACCATGGCAAAAAGATAGCATAGTTAAAGAAAAACAGTTAAGACAGACATACCTCCGCTTGTGCTTTATTAAATCTGCATCAACAATATCTGCCAGAGGCAAATTGAACAAACTAAATGAAGCTTGTACAATTACCCTAAAGAAAGACAGAATATTGAAGATTTTCATAGCTCTTATACACACTTCATAATGAAATCGTAACTGACATTCTAACACATACACCCCAACACTGACATTTCCACAAACACACAAAGCTGAGACCTTCTTTAAAATATGCTGATTTAGCTGTTTAATCAGCAGTTCTGAAAGCATTATTAGATTTGTTCTTAATTAAGAATTAGAAATCAATATGCAAACCTAAAAGATGGGGATTTTTTGCTTTTTTTCCTGGACAGTGGTGCAAAAGTTCATACATACTTGCTTGAGATTATCAGTAAATCACATTTAAAATGACATGGAGAAAATAAACACCTTAGAAAAAAGAGAAACTGAAAATTCCCTCTTGAAATCCAAAAAGGACACAAGCATCACTGGAAAGAATACATGGAAGACAAACTTCAAAGTGGGAGAATTAGAACAGTAAAAAGATTTTATCTGCATTCCTATATAAGTATTTACATTTTATATATATATGCATTTAAACACATACACACAAACACAAAGCCAACCCTTAAACTGCTAACTGAAACTTTAAACTCACATATTAGGATTTCTGTGTCTTATTAAATTTTGGGTGTGATTAGCTTTTACTTACAAGAGGCTTTGAACAACTAGCACTTTGAACATACAGTCTTTACCTTAGAATTTTTTCCTCAGGAAATCAAAATATATCTTCATCATTTAAAGTATGCAGGCAATGAAGTTCAATTTATTGTTCACACAATTCAGTGTTACAGTAGTCCATGACAGAAATACTGAAAATAAGAATGAAATTGGGTGGGGGGAAGAAAATGAAGAAAAGGCAGGTAGGAAGGAACATGCAGAAGGAAAGCAATGAAATAGAAAAAAAAAGAAATAAAACCTAATTGCTGTAACAATACTCTGAAATGAACAAGTGTATTTTTAAATAAGGTTTTCCATGTATCATAATATACGTCTGTGAAAATACTACTTTTAGCATCATACTTACCCAGTACCAGTGAAAAAGTGACTCAGTACTGGTTACCTAACAGATGCCTGAGATACCAGTATTTGTTTTGCACTGCAACTCAAGTGTTCATGCAACACAAAAAGAGGCCTGAGCTTTCCTAGCAAACAGTCTCTGAAGAGTTCCTCTACCGAGATCTTCCATGTCAGAGTGGATGAGAAGAGGTTCTGCTTCCCTGGAATTGCATGTTAAAGCAGGTATGTGGCTGGAGGCATGTGGCTGCAAACCTTAATTACTGTTCATTTTTGGGCCTTTCCTTGGGGTTTTTTGGGTTGTTTTTTTGGTGTTTTTTTTAAAAACATTAAAAACATAAGTAGAACAAAATGAAATGTAATGGGAGTTTTAACTTTCCTGAAACAAACAGAACAAAAAGGAAACCATAAAAGCAGTAGCAAAATCTTCATGCTATTAAAAGTACCCACTGTTAGAATTATTTAAGCCATATCTATGAATAGGGAAGCATATTCACTTACATGTTTGTTGTGAGATAAAATGCCAACAGATAATAGTGTTCTGGCCCTAGAACAAACATGACAGCAGCAGCTACTCCTTCAAAGTAAAAGGAAAACAGGATGATTCTGTAATAACCAAACTTCTTCAACGAAGCATGACTGAGAAGAACAAGGCACTGAAAAGATATACACAGATTTATGATGAAAAGAGACAGTACAGTATCTCAGCATTAGGAGACCTATAAAGCATAAACCAGTCATAAGTTATTACTACCCATTAAAGAAGAAAACAAAAACAAAAAACCAAACCATTTCTAAAAAGTTCAATCCAAATAAAATAGATACTCTTCCCACTGGCTGTTTTCAGGCATTTTGCAGAAAAGTGTATACTAGAAACAGTAAGGTATTGTGTAATGCACATTATTCTAAACACTGTGACCATGTCTCCCTAGAATTGAGAAATAACCCTGTCTCAGGAAGTACTTATGATTTAGAAAACTCCTTATTACTTGCATGTTTCTAAGACTGCATATTTCTAAGAAAAATACTAACTTAATGATGCAAATTTAGATTTGTTTGCCTGTGCTTCAGCAACAAGGTCTCCCTTGGGTTGGGTGCTTTTCCAGTAAGTGAAGTCCAGGACATTGCCACCAGAGAATTCTTGTATTATATCTTGAGCTCAAAGGGACAAAACCCAAGAAAAATAAGGTCACAGCAAACTCTCTACAGTTCAGTGACCTTCTAGACAGAGTCTCTGGGGAGCAGAGAGAGATGCATTTTCTGAAAGATTGTTCGTTTCACACTGTCACACTGATTTTATCAACAGTAGCGATTCCTATATATTGAGTGTAAAATTATTTAAGCTTTCCTAACTTCTGCAGTTTCTGATTTATTTCCAAAGTTCATCAGCTGTTTGAGTTGCAGAACAAAACTATTAAACCTGTGGTAAGGATAAAATTTGAAATCACAGATATTTAGGAGTTACAGAACAGAGAAGATATGCTTAGGATTTTTATGTTATATATGCAAAAGCAAAAAATGGTAACTAAAATTGAGCTGTGAATTTGAGTTGCACTTTGACATATCTTCTTTTAGATTTTACTTACTGAAAACATTACAACTTAATGAACATAACAGCCTCATTTTCAGAAATTCTGAACATCACCAGCACCTATGATGAAGATCAGGATACATGGTTTTTGAGCAATCTAACAAGCAAACACAGTAAAAGTTTAAAAGATCCAGTGAAAGACGTTAGAAGGGAATGAACATGAGAATTTTTTTATTCACTACAGGCAAGTGTGTTTAAATTCCGTGGGACATATTTTTGCTGCTTTTCTCGTTCTCGTACATTACTTGTTTGGGTTCTCTTTTCCTTTTCTTTTCCAGTTCATTATTCCTGCTCCCATCCCTCACTGGGATCTTGAAAGTATCTCTTTCTCTCTCGCCAATAAATGTAGCTGACCAAGACAGCAAATAACAGAATAAATAGGGGAGGAGTATTCTCCAAAAGCAGCTATTCAGAGTTTTGTTTGGTTCCCATGACTGAGATGCCACATATTTCAACAATGCTTTTAATACCTAATGGTTTTTCTGGCATTTTGTGCAGTTTATCTGAGAAACTTCCTGAAGAGATTATACTTTCATCATGTGTTACAAATCAAAACCAAAGAGAAAAGAATTCAGAACTCTACAGATTTTGTTTTTAGAAACTTTTTATCTTGACCATGTTTTTAATTCCTTTATCCGTAGGCATTACAAACCCTGTAGGATATAAAACACTCCTTTCACACTCACGTCTCACATTCCCACAGTAAACAGGTATTTTACCAGCCTGCCTGCTTGGCCATTCTCCCTACCACTGCATTTGGTCAGCCTCATCCAGAGGCTTTTACGGCATTGGAGAGACAGATTTGTTTCTCACTATGGCCAACAGCTTATGCTGGATGCACCATTTTTTCAACTAACAGTGTAAATGGATACCTTAAAGTAATGAAAACTAATAAAACACCATGTTTTCATATTTTGAAATAAAAGAAGTGTAACTGCCTACCTGAGGACAAATAAAGCTTGCTCCATACATTATACTTCTTATTGAGGAAGAAAGGACATCCTTAGGAATAAGATTATCCGCAAAGATCATCATAAAATTGTTGCAGAAGGCTAGGTGGAAGACTTGGAAGAAGTTCATAGTTACAAAAAATAAAAAGTTTTTCTCTGTCATAATCTGCTTGGTCAATGAAATTACAGAGGACCAGGAGAGAGCTCCCTCACTGCTTTCCAGATTAGAACTCTCCGTGCAAATTTCTCTCCGCTCATATTGACTTGTACTGTATTTGCCTGTGTAACACATACAAGCTGTTGCTAATGCTGCAACCAAAACGGCAAAAGCCTGAAAATAGGCAAAATTTTCCATATTATCTGATATGAGACCACAAAAGAGAATGCTCGTTGATCCAATTAATGTTGCTACTTGGTTATATTTAATAAGCTGAAGTCTACTTTCATGTCTTGTTGAAATTTCTGCAAAGAGCGCACACTGCGCGAGAAGCACAAACGTAAGCAAACTATCAAAAGCACATAACGCAAGGATGAGGTGAAGACCACTTAGCCAGTCACCTTCTTCATAATGTTTCCAAGGAAACCAAGGAAGCAGAAAGGCTAATGCATATAAAGGAGCTCCATATAAAATTGAGAACTGACGTCTCGAGCAGCATGTGAATTTGGAGTTATCTTGAATATACCCAAAAAGAGGATCATTAATGGCATTCCATATCATAAATACAACCTGTAACAAACAAGAGAGAAACACAATGGAACTTATCATTAGTGTGAGCTTTCTGTGGTAGTTATACAACACAGAAGTAATACACACCCTATTTACTTAAAATAAATCTCCATTCAAAGAATAAACAAAGATAAAAGCGTCTCAGGTCAAAACAGGCTCCAGAACAAATTCTTAAAGGTATTTAGAAGTTTACAGTCATTTTGAAAAAACAGGATTATTTAGTAGGCAGGTTCCCACCTTCATGTGAAATAAACCCGTCTCTAAGACTTCACTCCTTCAACTCAATATGGCCTTTCACTTTGCAAAGCCCAGGTGTTTCACTCACAGCAAGTCATTCACAACATGAGCCGGCCCATTACTTTCAGGAGACCGTTTATGACAAGAGTTGCTCATGTGGATAATGACTTGCAGAATAAAGGTAGTATTTAAGTACTTAAGCAGTCCATAGGAAAGCACTAATGTCAAACCTAGAGAGCTGAGGTGCAAGATTAGCTTAGAACATTATTGCAAGCTATCGAAGGTAAAAATCTTTCCAGCAATTAAAGTCTGGTGATTTTGTCTAGAGACTGTAAATGATGTGCTTCGTGTGTACCTTCAATTGCTTATGGATTAACTAAATTTAAAATTAATTTAATGTGTAACTATTTGCAATGCATCCAAAATTAATTCACAAGTAAAAAGAAAAAAAAAAGACTTTGTTGTGATAGCACAGACACATAGGACTACATGGTAATCAAAATATTCCATCGTACGATACCTGCGCTTGATGAAATGCTACTTCTGAAATTTTGTATCGGTTTAGGAAAAGCTTAACGTAGTAGAAATTAAAGATACTGTTCATCATTCCAGCACCCAGTGTAGTCATGGAATATGCCAGCGCGTTAGGATGAATTCCCCAAACAAACTTCATCTTCCACTAGTACAATTCTCTTCTTCCTCAGGTTACAAAAAAGAATTACAACAGTTGGTAGAATAATTTTCCAAATTAAAATGACATGGAAGATTTGCTTGTTTCAAACGCATAGAAATGGATTTTTAGAAGAAAATTTCCCCCCCTTTTTTTTTTTTGAGAAACACATTTTGCTGATTTATAAGACAGTGAGCACAAAACTGAATAGATGCAAAATATTAAGAAGTCAGTGACATTTCTAAATATAATCAGTGCTTAAAAATCAATGGAACAGGTAGAGAAAAAATTAAAAGAACCCCTTCTGTACTCGTGCTCAGACTCAACATAAAAATCTGCTATTGGAAACACTAATCTTGGTGTAGAGCTCAAAGTAATTGCATACATTTTACATCTTTCCTGCGAGCTATGTAGTTTTAAAATTCTGGACTGTGTAGGAATGAAGTGACTCAATACACATCCTTACATATTCCAGTGCTACGAATGTCAAATGCAGCATGCACTTAGATGAATATTTATTTCAAAACAAATACTGCATTTTGTCCTTGTATTTTTAAATGTTCATTGTTAACAAGCCATGGAAGCAATACTTTCACCTAGGAAACTAATGAGATATTAAGAGAAACCATAAAACAAACCACCTTTTAATAGTTTAAACATTTTCATAGTATAAAAGACTGCATGTAAATAAAATCTAGCACATAACACATACAGCATTTTAAGTACATCCAAATAACAGAGATTCAGCCCAAGAATATAGGGTTCTTTAATATATCAAAGAGATCTTCAGCCAAAATTTTTTTAAGATGCTGACTTTCTACATCTATCTAGCAATTAATTTAAGCATGTTTGGTATAAACTATCCCATGGAAATAGCTAGCTCCAGGGAACCTCTACCTTTTAAAGCAGGGTAATGATTGCCTTTATGGTTCTTGACTACGTTTGATTCTATAAACCCAATACAAGAATACTCCCAGGTATCTGTTTTTAACTGAGGTTTTAATCATCTTTATATCTATATGAAGGAAGCTGTCAGCCATTAATGTGGTGATACTTCAGGTTCAAATTTCAGCCTTACTATGCACACTGTCTCCAGAGCTTTAAAACCTGCTTTTTGTCAATAGTCCACACTTTGCTCCTCTGCATATTAACAATTTTACCCTAAATGCGATTTTTGAATATCCATCAAAATACTTAGTTGAGTATTTGCTTGTTCAGCTTGATAAGCAGATCTATAAGCAGCTCCCTAAACACCTCATAAAAAAAGCCATGAAAGAACCAGGAAACGAAACACAAGGCTGTTTCCAGCTGCCTGTGGTTCACGGAGCGGCTGGACAGGGAGGACAGTCACATCCTCGTCACCAGGCAGGGCCAGGCAGCACTGCGGATCGGGCAGGGGCTGGAGGAGCATCTGTCCTGGCCAAGGCAGAGGATGGAACAGCAGTTTGTGCAACTCCAAACATGGAAAATGAACTCCTGAAGAGCAAATAAAATGTGGATGCATTTTTGTATATATATTTAAGATGCTCAAATATGAAACAATATGCAAAGAGTAGGTACCTTCTCTTTGCAGGTAAGATAAAAAAAATCAAGCTGACAAACAACTTGAACCAAGTTGGTTTTTTTTCCCGAAAGCCAATTTATTTGTAAGAATATGATTGAATTTTTAGGTACCTAACAATGATTGTGATGTATATTTTCAAGTTTATTTTTCACAGAGCTACAGCTGTAGAGACACTTCCATTTTCAGGTGATGAAATTTTTCTTTTTTGTAACAGGTCTGGTTTCATAAACTTTTTTCTGATAAACCTAAAATGAAAAATAAGGTTATTGAAAAGATGCCCATTTGAAATGTTTATTTCTAAAAATGAGTTTGATATCCCTAACTGTATAATAGTCACTACAGTAAGCATGCTATTGACAAGTGTCACATTTTCTTTAAAGGGCATGTTCAAGCCTTCACAAATCTACTTAATGAAGTGACTTATGTAGTAGGTATTAGGACTTTTGGAAAGCTAGGCATTTCATCTTGAAACCCCCTGCGTGGATCTTCGGATGGAGGATTGGGAGACCCTCCTTCTCCTCAAATTCTATGAGGACCAAGAACAAATGAGCTTTGCACTAACACTGCCAGCACACAGAGTAATTTCTGAAAACGTATTTGACTCCATTCGTCTCTACACACAAATGAAAAAAGGACCTCTCAGCTTCAGAAATTTGAAAGTAAGAATTTGAAATTTCTTTAACAAAAACCTTCTAACAATGCACAAACAGGCCTCTAGTGCCTTGACTGATTATTATACACAGGATCTGACACAACTCTTTACACTAATTGGTACCTCTGGCCCTGTACCTTGTTTACAAAATAGGCTCCATTAGAAGTTGAGGTACCACACTTCCTTTCCCAGAAGATGTGCTCTTTAATTGTACTACAATGAAATCATGCATGAGCATCCCCTCTCCCTTAATAGTCAGCCTTTACACTGAGTAGGCTAAAGCACAGGTGTTGACATTTTGTGACTCATGGAAGGCAAACTGGTTTCAGAAATTTCTAGTGGTGACAACTACGTTAATACCAGTGAGCCAAAAGAACAGGTTTTCTGAACCAGCGAGACACAGGACGCCACTATTGCATTTCTCCCAGAGCTGGATGACAATCGCTACAAGGACCCGGCGTCTGAAGAGCGGGTTCCCAGGGACAACACATCGTAACCGGGGCAGGGGGACCAGCTCTGGTGTACCGGGTCCCACAGGGCAGCCCCGTGCTCGCAGTCCGGACCAACCGGCTGGTCACAAGCATCTTCCTCATCTTTCTCCCATGACTTAAACCACACTAACACGGAGCCGAGGGCGCGCGCTGCCGGGCCCGGCGCTGAGGGGGCGCACCCGGGGCAGGCGAGCGGCGGCACCGCCTCAGCCGTCCGAGCGCCGCCGGCTGTGGCTGCTGGGAGGCGCTGGAAGCTCGGAGGCGGCTCGTCTGCTAAAACTGGGCAAAACAAGGTATTTTTTCCTCAGCAGCTCCCCAGATACGGCTCCCCCCCGTAAGGACAAGGGGCGAGGGCGGGCGGTGACCGCCATGCGGTGCCGGGGACGGCCGCGCTCAGAGGCGACAGCGGCTGCTGCGGCGGGGACGCGCCCTCCTCTCCCGCACCGAGGCTCCACGGGAGGCAGCGGGAACGCGGCCCGCACCTGGGCGCCAGCCGGTACGGTGCCCTCCCTCCCAGGCTCTTCCCTCAGCGCTCCCCGAGGCCCAGCCGCGCTGTTGGGGCCCAGGCTGCGCCAGCTCTGCTCCGCCGCAGACCCACCGGAATACCCCCCGCAACCGCTCCCCGCCATTAACCCTTCAAGAGCCCCGCCACCGCCCCCTTCCGCAGGCACCAACCCACCTCCTCTGACTGGAGGCTGCGCAGCCGGCTGCTGGGGCGGGCGCAATGAGCCCGGGCCAACCTTCTCTTCGCTTTCATTAGCTCCTTGACACAAATTCGCTTTGTGATTGGCGTAGACTCCTTTCCATCTGTCTGGCGGGCGGCTTCCCATTGGCTCTCTGCAGGGGAGGTGAGGGCGTTGTGTTTGAATCGCGGGCAGGCGGTGGGCGGGCGGCCGCTGCTTGCCACGTTGCCGCCGGCAGCTCGGCGTAGCCCGGCCAGAAGGGGGAGAGGTTCGGCAAACTCCGGAAACGCTCGGCAATGGCCGGAGGCGGCTTTTAAGGCGAGGAGCGGCTGCCGGCTGCCCTGCCCCGCCACCGCCCGCCGCGAGGGGACCGGCCCGCGGGCGCGCCGCCGCCTCGTCCTGCCGCCGCGCCGTGAGGGGAAGGGGCGCGATGCTGGCCGACAGCCTGG